GCTCCATTCCCATGACTTTCACTTAATTTGTCTAGGGTGATATCTTGGCATAGATAAAATGTTTTAAAGCTCCAGAGGTAACTGTAATATGCAGTCAATGTTGAGAAGTCCTACTTTATGTACTACTGATCCTATTGTATTATTATTATTTGTGAAACTTGATCTCCCACTGGTATTTTCAGCACTTTAAATCAGAGACTGTATCTGATTCATATATGAATTCCAGTGCCTGCTGAATTTGAACTTGTATGCCAAACGCTCTGTGGGGTACTCCAGAAGATCCAAATTTCAATAGGATATCTCGTCATCCAAATCACAAACTGTTACAGAAGTATCAGACAAGAACAAACCTAATACAATCATAACTCTGACCTAATAAGGCTATAAGGGGAGACAAAATAAAATATTAGGATAGAGAGTCAAATCAAGTTGGGACATCATGGAGAGGGTAGAATCTTAGGATGATGATGTGTGGAATTTTGAATAGGATTATGTGTATGGTTTTGACAGAACGAAACAAAATAGTGGGAAGATGAAAACAGAAGAATTTCTTGTAAAAGGGAACTGAGTAAGGAAAGAAGAAGAGGTAGAAAAGTGTGAGGTCCATTAAGGAAACAATTTGAATAGCATTTAAGAAGCAACTATAGGAGAAGGTGGTGATGAAAGTAGAAAGTTGGTGGTGTGAGATCACGGATGCTTTGAATGCCCAGTGGATGATTGGGGATTCCCTGAAGGTTCCTGAGCAGAGGAGTAATATACTCAGACATTCGTACTTTAAAAAGATCACTCTTCCTGCTATCAGTGAGATCATATGATACATGTTGAATCTCAGATCTGTACCTCTGAAACAAATAATGCAATGTATGTTAAGAAAAAAAAAAAGAAGAAGAAGAAGAAGGTAGCGGGAGGGGAAGAATGAAGCAGGGGAAATCGGAGGGGTAGACGAACCATGAGAGACTATGGACTCTGAAAAACAAGGGGGGTGGGAGGATGGGTTAGCCTGGTGGTGGGTATTGAGGGGGGCACATTCTGCATGGAGCACTGGGCGTTGTGCACAAACAATGAATCATGGAACACTTCATCTAAAACTAATGATGTAATGTATGGGGATTAACATAAGAATAAAAAAAATTAAAAAAAAAGATCACTCTTCCTAATTAATTATCTTGTAGCTTTTAAAATGAATTTTTATGGGATCTAAATTACATTATATGAATACTGTAAGCAAGGCTTGCTTTTTTTTAAAAGATTTTATTTATTGATTGATTTGAGAGAGTGAGAGAGAACATGAGCAGGGGGAGGGGAAAGGAGCAGAGGGAGAGGGATAAGAAGATTCTGCACTGAATGCAGAGCCCGACGTGGGGCTTGATCCCAAGACCCTGAGATCATGACCCAAGCCCAAATCAAGAGTCAGAGGTTTAACCAACTGAGCCACCCAGGTGCCCCTATAAGCAAGGCTTTCTTATACTAAAACCATTATGTGGTCAATGTATTCATCAAAAAACAGTTCCCTGAGGAACAGACACATAAATTACATGTGCTCTCAAATGACAATATTTCATTCGTAGAGCTGAGAAGAAAATAAGTGAAGGTGAAGTAGTATAACAGCTATGGTAGTTCCCCTAAAAAACTGCCCTAAAATATTAGGGAAGTATCAGAAGAAAAGAGGTGAAGAGAATTCCTTCACTTAATGTATTTTCTTACTGACAAATGTAAGTAAGTGTGTTAGTCTAAGTTACTTATTTCATATAGTCAAATTTACTTTCCTGTTATTGCTTTTGATTGACAAATGCAGCATTTGTTGTTGAAAAAGCCTGCAGAAAAATAATTTGCATAGTATGATGTCACTTTAGGCTGAAAGTCTTTGTTTAGATCACCTCTTAACTTGATGGACTGGCTGAAACCATGCTCATCTGTGTATTGCCTCAGCAAGCCATATTTGTCCTATATCACTGCCCTATGGTGTACTTTTGAGATCCACACCAAATTGTTTTTTTAATTACAAAACTTCATTGCATTTTGTCAATAAAGTCACTAGTAAAACAATGGGATATATCACACATATCAAAAACCTAAAGCAAATCAATGTTTATAAGCATTGGATGCTCTTTTCTTTTTTCTTTTAAATTTGATCCTAGAAAGCTGTGTGTGTGTGTGTGTGTGTGAGATTATGTATATATAAACATCCCAGTGAGAGGTGAAGAATAGTAAAAAATTCAGATATTCATGGAGATATTTAAAACTCAAAAAATATTATTCAGAACCTAACCACACAATTCAACATTTTCTTTAATAGTAGCATATAGTAATATTTTAGGAAGTTACATGGTTAGGTTCCATGTATCATCACATGCCAACTCTTTATATGCTCAACTAGATTTTATGTGCCCTGTGGAGAGTTTTCAGTCTTTAAACTGTGTTATAAACTCTAACATTTGATTGAGAAAAACAAATAGGTTAGATGAAGTCTCAAGATTAGAGACTTCTAGTTCCACGCAAGATGGAGTAAACACAATCTATTTTACTTCTCTAATTACAAAAAACACTCTAGTCAAAACCTATAAGTCATTTATCAGAAGAATTTAAGAGGTGGAAAAATGAAGACAGATTGACTAGGTGCCTTGGGACTTAAAGATTAACATGGCAGTGAGTTCCATAGTTTTTTTTTTCCCTTGTCTCATTTATCCCAGCGATGCAAAATGCCAGGTAAAAGTGGCATCCAAGAAAAGCCAAACAACTAGTAAAGGGTGGCCAAACAGAACAGAAAACTTTTAATCACACTTGTCTATTCTAGGGGTGATATCACAAAAGTGGCAGGTTGCTCCCCCACTCAAATAATGGTGCAGCAAGGGGTCAGTGAGAAACGCCCCTCCCTGGTAGAGCCCATTGACAGAAACCTGTATTACACTCCCATTCCCAGTTCAACAAAGAGATGGATCCTTTCCCCATGAGGTCTCTGATAACCGACTTCCAGCCTCCATGAATTAAATAGGAGGTGTCTCTCCCCTCAGAGCACCTGGTTGCAATTCCGATTTCTACTCTCTGCTGAAATAACAAGGCAACAGAATAACTTTCTGCGGCTGGAGGTTTTGGGGGAGGGTGTGACTATTAAGGGATTACCTGAGGGAGTTCCTTGGTGGTAATGGAACAGTCCTTTATAATTACTTTAATGATAGTTACCCTAATCTACACCTGTGATAAAATTTCATAGAACTCCATCTACGCCCTTTCAACCAACCAAACAAACACAACAACGAAACCTGGAGTAATCTGAATAAGGACTATATCTAAGTACCAAAGTCAATTTCTTTCTTTCTCTTTCCTTCCTTCCTTCCTTGCATGCTTGTGTGCTTTTTTAGTGAGAGAGAAAGAGAGAAAGAGAGTGAGCACGTGAGTGGGAGAGGGGTGGGGGCAGAGAGAGAGGGAGAGAGAGAATCTTAAGCAGATTCCATGCCCCGTGTGGAATGCAATGCGGGGCTCATCTCACAACCCTGAGATCATGACCTGAGCTGAAATCAGGAGTTGGAAGCTTATTGGACTGAGCCACTCAAGCAACCCCCAAAGTCAATTGCTTTAAAAAAAGAAAAAAATAGGGGCGCCTGGGTGGCTCAGTCGTTAAGCGTCTGCCTTTGGCTCAGGTCATGATCTCAGGGTCCTGGGATCGAGCCCGCATCAGGCTCCCTGCTCCGCAGGAAGCCTGCTTCTCCCTCTCCCCCTCCCCCTGCTTGTGTTCCCTCTCTCGCTGTGTCTCTCTGTCAAATAAATAAATAAAATCTTTAAAAATATATATATATTAGTTTATATATTAATATAATAGTGTATCAGTTATTCAATTCTAACTTACTTTAAAGTTTGTTTTTTGTTTTTTTTTAGAGAGACAGTGCCAGCAGGGGAGGGGCAGAGGGGGAGGGAGAGAGAGAATCTCAAGCAGACTCCCCGCTGAGCATGGAGCCTAAGGCGGAGCTCCACCCTGAGATCATGACCTGAGCTGAAATCAAAGAGTCAGAAGTTCAATCCAACTGAGCCACCCAGGCGCCCCAATTCTAACTTACTTTAATGCTTTCTTCCTGAATATCTGGACACTGAATAACAAATGTGTTATGTGATAAAACTTTTTTAAAAATTCTGGTTTTGCCACTCAGATTTTCTAATACTATTACTAAACTAATATGACTAAGAATAACTATTTTCCCCTAATTTTCAAAATTTGGGATCATAATCCAAGAAGAGTCACGACTTGAAAAGGAAAGGAAAGTTACTCTTCACACCTAAATAACACTCTTTATGGTTTACATGAGTATAGGCATATTATAGGATAAGCTCAGTACGTGGGGGTGAGTACCTGGGGGATAAACTACTGATGCAATATTTTAAAGTAACTGAACACACAAAAAATTGAGGAAGTATAATAAAATTATAAATGACAGTGATAATACTTTGGTTTTTGTGTCATGCCTTGTCCCTCAGGAATACAAGATTTCTCTGTTAATCTCATCATTTAACAGATAGAGTTCTATATTGCTGTCTCTTTTTCAAAGGACACAATTAAATGATAGGCAGTTATGTGCCTGGCCTTAGGCCACAATGGAAATCACTAGTAGGGTCAGACTCATAAAATCAGGACTCATGCTCTCCATCAAGTGTCTTTGGCTTCACAGTTAAAGTAGACCATCTTCAGTTAAATCTCCACATGAATACCATTCCATTGAATGAGCCATAGTTGATACTAGAATATATCTATTTTTTAGTAGCATGGTTTCCAGAAGATTTTTCTGCCAGCATAGTGCTACTCCATTAGCAACACACTCAGGCATTTCATTTATTCTAATTTAATTTGTGCTCGAGTATTTTTTTGGACATTCGACAACTTTAAGTTACTTAATGGGTCGGAGATGTCAAGAACTATTCATTGTGATGGACCAAGCTTCTTCGTTCTAACCTTATAAACAAACTTCCCCAAAGGGAAGATAATATCATTAATGCATCCTGTCATCACTTACTTTCTTCTTTCCATTTCAAATCTATGGAGTAGTTTCCGAAGACCACCATTCTTAAATCCCTGAAAATGGGCAGCTGGGGCTCCCACAGTGATGACATCATAGAGAGCATCTGGAACAGGAATGGACAAGGAGATTAACACTTTGCAAACATTTGTCTCCAGCATGCTATCTGCATTGAACATACACACTGTGGGAAGTTTGAGAAATTATTCTGTTTAATTTTGCAGAACTAACTGAACTCTCATCTCAAGGGGGCAAGAGGAACTAATCAATCTTTCTAAAAGCCACCTGTGCACCTACACAAGCTAAATATTTCTTTGATTTATGACTACATCTTAATTATATGCTACTGTATGGAACAGTATGTTCCCTCATTCTTCTATATACTTACTGAGATAACATGTTAATTGGTCTTTTGTGTATTTTGTCTTATTGAGTTTTGCATCATTTAATTTGCAATCATATTGAAATTCAACAATAATGAAAAATCTTTACAGAGAAAATTTACAGAGAAAAGAACCAAAATATTAATTCATCTTGGCTCAAGGGCAGAACAGTACTAGTGCATTTAAAAAAAATCTATACAGAGTAGTTTCCTTTCTGTGTATACTAAATCTTACAGTTTCGAAAGCATGCTTTTGCAATTTTCTAAGATGACACAGAAAAAATACACACAGTGTCTCTAGATCTATTTTCCACCATGACACTTTGGGTTTTTTTTAATAAAAAATCTATACATTTAAATTGAAACTCAATCCTTTGATCTTGAAAGCCATCAAGTTTGATACATATTAAGTTTATGGCTTCAAAACACAGCATCATTTTTACCTTCTAATGAAAAGTATCCCCATAAGAAGGAAGACAGAGTGAACATCTCTTGTTAAACCACATTTTATTTGAGAAACCTAATTTCATAGTAGATCCTTTTCAAATTGATTTTGGTATTGACACTGGTTGTTTTCAGTTCTCATTTACAGGGAAAACATAAATTATTTTAGTAGCTTCAGGTAAACACCATAACTTCTTTATACTGGTTCAATCCAAATGCACCTGAAATATTTTTCTTAATAAAAAATGTCTTCAAGTGAAAGACTTCAGCAACACTGAGAGAACTCAAGGTCACACAAACAAAACAAAATAAAACAATACAGAAAACAAACAAACCAACCAACCCAGAATGTAACCCAAATCAACCTATCACTTACTGAACAGCCCACTCAATAGATTGTTAGTGGTAATCTCTTGCCCTTTTAAAAAGTCACTAATAAACTAAAAGTTAGCTTTTCTTAATATAGCAGAATATTAGACTTGCATGAAATTTAAAGACTTCTTCATCCTGGAGATTTTAATCTAGGGTTAAGAAAAGGGTTTCGGGGAGTCCATAAATATATGCAAATTGTATAAGTATGTCTGTTCTACTTCATGGAAAAGGGTCACAGCTTTCTCAGATGGTCATGAGAACACCCCAAAGTTATCAATACTAAATTCCAGTCCACTTTCATTTATCTGATGAGAACTCTGAGAACCTTGAGAAATGACCTGCTTTGTCTAAAGTCCCAAAGACCTTACACCTACGGTCTTCTGACTTCTAATCCAGGGATGGAAAACCAGGGGTTTAAGTTACTGACTGGAACCTGAGTCCCTTGGTCTGGATCCCAGTTCTGCCACTTACAAGCTGTGCAGCATTAGGAAAATTACTTAACCTCTCTATGTCTTAGTTTCCTCAGGTAGATAATGAAGTTGAAAGTAGTTAAAAGTGGTGAGCATTCACTATTACCTATGATTATTTTCCCTATAAGAAGTAATCCTACCAATGAAGCAAAGAAAGATGATATTTTAAGTTTTGCTTATTTACCATGAAAATACACTTTTCAGTCTGAAAAGGATAGTAATACTGAGGCTCAGTCTTCTGAATAGAATCAGTTCCTGTGTTAATTTAAAGTAAATGCAAAAAGAAACATCACCGTGATGCTGTCATGGAATATGCTGCATTTCTGCTAAAACCTGGGTGACCAACAATACCAACAATATATAGAAGTAACTAAAAACTGTATACATATGTCCCATTAGCTCAAACTAAATGCATTCCTAACTGAATTTTTTTTTTTTTTAATTGCCTGTAGACTCTCACTGGATTCAAAAAAAGTTTGTGGCCTCTCCAACATCACCTAGCAAGAGGTGAACAATGAGGGAAGGGGAATTCTGAGTAGAAAGAGAGAACAGTTTTAACTGATGGAGGATTAAGCTTACTTTTGTAAAATTTGCAAAACATCTGACCACAAACAAGTTGTTAAGGCCCCTTGCAGGATCTTGTAAGAGGCCCATTCACAGGAAAAGCCCCAAACTTAAGTTGCACTAGCTTTCTAGTGAATCTGTCTCTTCAATTCACCTATAGTTTCAGCATTTTCCAAAGCTACTTTCTAGGAGCAGAAATTTTCTCTTTGTTCATACACTCTGCTCAGGGGAATTCTAGTCACCTATGAAGGAACCATGAAACTTGGAAGCAGCAGGTAAAGGAAGAGAAGCAAGTTGCTCAAATATTGTCCACTCTTCATAATAAAGAGCTGATTATTTTTAAATCTAAATGAAGGTGTGTGTGTTTCTTGAATCCAACTATAATAAAGAACTTCCAAGTTATTAACAAGTTCTTTCATATCCAAAGTTCTGACTTTTACTTGTTTCCATTCTATTTTCTGTTTATGAGCTCATCCAAGTTGTAGGTGCTCCATAAATGTCAATAAATAAACAAATATTCTGAGGCTCAATTCAGTTTGTCTTATATGTCTTTTTATTTTTTTTATTTTTTTATTTTTATTTTTTAAAGATTTTATTGATTTATTTGACAGAGACACAGCGAGAGAGGGAACACAAGCAGGGGGAGTGGGAGAGGGAGAAGGAGAAGCAGGCTTCCCGCCGAACAGGGAGCCCGATGCGGGGCTTGATCCCAGGACCCTGGGATCATGACCTGAGCCGAAGGCAGACGCTTAATTGACTGAGCCACCCAGGCGCCCCTGTCTTTTTAGATCATATAAGGATTATTCTTAATTGAAGAAATAAAAAAAATGTATATACACTATCCAGAAAAAAATATATTGGAATCTGAAATATATATGTGTGTGTGTATTATATATGTGTGTGTGTGTGTGTGTGTGTGTGTGTATATATATATATATATATATATATATATATATAAAATCTCCATGGGATGGGGATGAATACATATCCATCCATGGACCATACTACATAAAAGAACAAAGAGAATTTATGATTATTCACATGCAAAAGAATGAAATTAGACTCTTGTCCTACAGCATGCACAAAAATCAACTCAAAATGGATTAAAGACTTAGACATAAGACCTAAAAGTGTAAAACCCCTAAAAAAAAACATAGAGGGAAAGTCTTATGATAATTGGTCTTTACAGTGGTTTCGTAGATATGACGCGAAAAGCATAAGCAACAAAAACAAGCAGGACTATGTCAAACTAAAAAGCTTCTGCATAGGTAAAGAAACAATAGACTAAAAAGGCAACATATAGAAGAGGAGAAAATATTGGCAAACCATAAATCTGATGAGAAGTTAATCTCCAAAATATATAAGGAACTCCTACAACTCCATAGTAGAACAATTAATAACCTGACTTAAAAATGGGCTAAAGGCTTAAATAGACATTTTGCCAAAGAAGACATACAAATGGCCAACGGGCATATAAAAAAATGTTAAAGGTTATTAATCATCAGAAAAATGCAAATCAAAACTACAATGAGATACCATCTCACACCTGTAAAAATGGCTACTATCAAGAAACACAAAAGACAGTGAATGTTAGCCACAATGTGGACAAACTGAAATCCTTGCACAGTGTAGAACTATCATGGTTCAATAATCTCAGTTCTGGGCATTTATACAAAAGAACTGAAATCAGGATCTCAGAGAGATATAAGCACTTCTATGTTCGTGTAAGCACTATTCATAATAGGCAAGATATGGAAGCAACCTAAATGTCCATCAGTGGGTGCTGTATAGGTATAATGGGATGATATTCAGCTTTAAAAAAGAAGGAACTTCTGTAATATGTGACAATATGGATAATCCTTGAAGTTATCAAGTGAAATAAGGCACAGAAAGACAAATAATGCATGATTCTACTTGTCTGAGGTATCTTGACTAAATTGCTATCGATGTTTCTATAAGATTTAAATTCAGTTTTATTTTTTATTTTTATTTTTTAAATTTGAATTAAGTTTTAATATACTGTCTAAAACAGGAAGAAATACAGAATTCCTTTAAAAATGTCTCACCACATATAAAACAAAAGAACCCAGTAACTGTGAGATGAATATGTAAATTAGCTTAGCTATAGTCATCATTCACTATGTATATATATATGGCAAAATATCATGTTATATACCTGAAAATATATATAATTTTTTATTAAAACACAAAAACATATTTATTATTTAAATATTCCTGCAAATTTTTATTTTTGAGATAATTTTGGATTTCCAGAGTTGTTGCAAAGTTAGAACAGAATTCTGTATACACTTCACTCAAGCTCCCTATGTTAATATCTCACATAGTCATAGACTATCAAAACTAAGAAATTAATATTGTACTATACCATTAAATAAAGTAGATAATGTTAGGATTAGTTTTTCCACTAATACCTTTTGTTCTTTCAGGATCCAGTCTAGAATTCCACATATCATGTCACTGTCATGTAGTCTCCTCCAATCTATGACAGTTTCTCAGTCTTTCATTTTTGACTGTGACACTTTTGAAGAGTACTGGTCAGTTATTTTGTACAGTGTCCCTCAATTTGGGTTTGTCTTATGTTTTCTCATAATTGGACTGAAGTTCTGCACTACTGAGTAGGATACTATGGAGGTGATATGCCCTTCTCAGTGCATTATAACAGGGAGTATGTTAAATTGATATATATTACTTGATGTTAACCTTGATGCATTGGTCAAAGTGATGACTGCCACTACCTACAGTTGATTCTTCACTGTAAAGTCACTAAAGATTTAGAGAGACATATTTTAACACAATGCAATATCCTGTTTCTTTTTAGACTTGTGCCCACTAATTTTAGCATCTATTGATATA